CTTTGTGAAACATCATCAACAATGGCCCAAGGACTGTTCCCAATCCTAAGTCTGCATCATGGCAAGTTTGCTCAAAGTTCCCAGATGGGTTCTTGCTCCACCCATTGTATCGAGGATGCATCAACGCATCCTTCTGCAGACTTAGGACAGCAAAGTTTCCCATAATGCGTTGCATCACAACCTTTTGTAGTTTTATTTAAGAAATACTAATAAAGAAATATTAAGTTGTCTGTTATTGTAAATAATTGTGTGTAATCTGTAACATTTGATGTGTGTATTACGGTTTTACTTTTTACAATCCCTCAAAATTCTAATTAGCTAACCCATCATCAAAATAAATGCAAAGTTCTGTTTTGATGAAAAATAAACGTTTTTATTCATTTAAAAGGAACTCTGGCTATGAGGATGTGTATGCCTTAATAAGCCACAAGTTTTCTGTTGTACCAAACTATGTTGTTAGAAACACATAAAATGTTGCTGTTTATTTATAAATCTATTATATTCAGTAAATTTTTTGACATGCGTAGGACGCCATGTTTTCCGCACGCAATGCACTCTGGGGGCGATGACGTATATTGGTTGCTCTTGGAAGAATAGCTATTGACACTAGTGTTTGTTTACGTGCTCACCATATTAATAATTAAGTAAAATGCCACATTGTGCTGCTTTTGGATGTAATTTTCAGTCAGAGGGCAACAAGGGGAGTGATGTGAGTTTACACAGCTTTCCCACTGGCAAGAAGAGGAGAAAGCAGTGGGAAGATGCCTGTGGACGGACACAACTTCCCAAAGATCCGCGGCTGTGTTTCCAGCATTTTTCTCCTGATGTGTTCGAGGCTTCTAGTCGACCACAACTACTTAGAGCTCACCAGAGCAGCTGGGTATAAGAGAAGGCGGAAACTAAATGCTTTCCCGACCATTTTCCCACGCAAGGAGCCTAAACGCCCTCGGAGAGACAAGAGACGCTGGACGCTCTCCTGAGCCGACAACTCGCTCCTGCAGCTGCCGCTTCTGTCACGTTCAGCGAACCATCGGACACGCCACTCGTCACAGATAAAGCTGAACATTCACCTCTCCCGTCAGTAAAACAAGCAGTAAGTGTAGCAACACAGTGTTCTCCAAATATATAATATCCCCAAAAATGATTAAAGTCGTTTCACTGAACATCCTAATCATCTATAAAGCACATGACAGCTCTGGATGCTAAAATTCTCCAAAATCATTCATAACTGAATAAGTTTGATCACACGATAGCTTACCGTTAACTTCTGCTGACAAAAATGTGAGCTCTTGACAACAAACACCCTCCCTCTCGGTTACCATGGAGACACACTTACCGCACACGCACCACCGGTTTTGTCCTGCACTCGCTTCATCCCGCCCTTCTTGCTCTTCATTTTGATGCTTGTTTTGTGAAACATGGTCAGTGATGTCCTCATTAATGTTTGGCTCTGGTTCATATTGAAAAGGCTGAACAGACGACATGTTGATGTCGCTGAACACTCACTACAGGGCCCCAAAGCCGGCCGGTGCAACCGAGGTACAACTATATGACGTCACTACCCAGAATGCAGTGGGACGCCAACAACAAAGGGGACCTACGATTAAACTATTTTTACAAGTTTTATAAAAATGAAGACATTAAGAAGGTTTTTACACCACTTTAATATAACTGATACTAACGTTTATCTTTTAAGAACCACAAAGTTTTGTAACCTGGGTTCCTTCTTTTAACAGAGGAACATGCTGGTATTTCATCAGTTTCGAACAAAAGTGGACCAAATTCAATACAAATAACATGTATTGTTGTAATTTTGTTATTTAAGGAACAACCTAGACTTTTATTTATATGTCAGGTCATTCAACCGTAGCTAGAAACAAGCAGCACTTGTTGCCATGATGCAACGGAGTACGGTTTGGTTCTAAATGCCGTCCTCGTCCTCCCTTACTCAGTAGAACAAACTTTTTGGTGTCCTTACTAAGAATATAATTGTCTAGTACACATGAAGAACGTACTAGCGTCTTTGAGTATTGAGAAATGACCCCTGTGTATAATGGTCACTACATGGTACAGCTAATATGGCAGTTGACAGCATTTGCATATAAGCCATCAGTTTGGACTGTAGTGTCACCATATTGTCATACCTGGCAATGCACAATTAAATGAATTTCAAAATGTACATTTTTGCGCCTAATGATGAAAAATAAAACAGGTTGGGAAAAAAAAAACCTAAATGAGGCTGTCATAGCTCATGCACGAAAGGCTTAATAACAAAAGTAGCATGTTTTCATTACTCAACGCTGAGGTGGTTACAAGAGATTGTGAAGATTGGACGCAACCCAATTGAGCCTGGAATCTTCTGGGCACATCTGAGAACAATTGCAGCATCCCATCACCAAACCTGACGAAACTCAAGACCCCGCCTGACAAAAGCAGCATGGGACGGAGACATCTCCTTCAAGGCTGCAGAGGGAAACCTGTCGGCGTGCAGGAGCAGTGTCACGGGGCCTTACTTATCTCCTCCCAGATTAAGTCCCAATTGTTTACCAGCAACAAAGGCAGCCAGTAAGGAAACCAGCCCCCCCAAAGGCCAGATGGTCAGTGCTCAGAGTCCCCCCCTCCCTGACCCCTCCAGCCTTTGCTCTCTGTGACGGAGCTGCATGCTTTCAGCAAGTAAGGCCACCCAGCTAATTCATAGTTAACCCAACATGTCAGGGCAATAATACCTGTTTGACTTTAGGACACATCAATAACAGTATTCACTACACAATGTTGCAGAATATTACAAATCTACAGGTAATGAAGTGTTTATCAGCCAAAAGCTGCAGTATGCATTTCAGTTAGTATGAGTCAACTCTTGACAGTGAGGAGAATGTTGTAGTAAGATACAATGGCATTAGGGGAGTCCTTAAATATTTGAACATAATAGATGCACATTTTAAGACATTAAAAATTAGATAAAAGCATATCGAAGAGATAGATCGCTTCCTCTTTGAATGACAAACCACCAAATTCATCTTCTGCTCAATGCCAACTGATTTGATTTGGTCTAAAGCCTGTTTCAGCACCGAGCCTCAGGCCATTGCAGTTTTCTGCACGTAAATTGATGTCCGGACTCCAGACTGCTTACTTTGACACGACTTTATAAACGATGACTGAACAATGCAAACGTATAAAACCACTGCCACCTCCTTAAACGTGCAAAAGAGCTTGCCTAAAACAGTTAAAACCAACACTTGCTACAGTAAGCCGAAAGAATTAGGCGAGGCTTTTTTTCTCAGCAGCGACCAAGTGAGGAAAAACAGGTTTTTTAAAGCAACATTCTTGAGTCAAACAAGAAAAAAGAAAGTTTGTTGACTCTCTGAAAACTGTTTTGGTTTTGAAAGTCTCTTCTTGAACGCCGCCGCACTGCGCCATCCGGTTGTTTTACAGTCCGGAGAAAATTTGACAGTGAAACAAACTTTACGCGTTAGATTTTGAGGCGCGTTGAGCTGACTGGACGCGGTGGAACCACCGTCCAGACCAATGGTCCGGACGGCTTTCTGGAGTCGCAGTCGTTCGTAACGTCTCCCGTATTTTAAAAAACAAAGCAGCGCAGTTCGGTCGTACCTTATCAGCCGCGGGACGCGTTAAACGTGGCCATGTCCGTGAAGAATCAGCGCCGTGGGTGAAGTTGGTGTCCCTGACTCCTAACGCCTCCGTCACCTTCGATGCTGCTCTCTGGACACAGCTGGTCTGCGCACCGTCAGCTGACGTCAGGATAATACTGTACGTCTGGTTCGGTTAAGCGGAAACTGAAAAAAGAAGAAGCACAAAATCTCACAGAGGGCTTAGTTAAGTAACACGCGTTTAACTGTATCATGGCTATTGGGGTTTGGTCTAGGTCTAGAATAATGTTTTTTGCAAACGAGAAAATGTAATAAATGTGAAGATTTAATAAAAAGGTAAAAGCAAACGTTACTTGAAAACAAATAATTGGTCATTTTTCACTGATGGAACGGGACGCAACTGTGCGCAAAGGGCCTCACAATGATTAACAGACTTTTGTTTTAATTAATTAATTTGTTTATTTGTTCCTTTTGGCTGTTGATGCCTTCAAGTGTCCGAGCATAACTACTTTCTTGTCTACAAATATAGGTGGTCTGTTCGGTTTAACTCGGCAGAAAACCCACAAACTCGTATCAATTTTATGCCTTAACTTAATTATTTTTGTACAAAACGCATAGTTGAATCTGTCTACGTTTCCCATTTAAGAAAAAAAAACAACAAACAACATTTTGCTTATTGATCTAATTTGGTAAACAAATGAACGAAGGAGTATAAATTGTAAAATACTGCCCTCTATTGGAAAAAAGGCAACAAGTCCACACATAAAACTTGTAGAAAACATTTCATTAGTTTAAAAAATCATCTGAATGTGTATTAAACAAATTATAAACGTTAAAAAATTCGTTTTCTCCACATTTATATTTTTAAGACATTGTCTCCAGATCAAGTAAAAGTATACAAGGGTAGGATAGAAATAAAAATGGCAATGAATTGTTTATTTTTTTATTTATTTTATCACCTATAATTTATCACAATGTGACTTTTCTAGGCCAAATTTATTAAAAATGAAAACTATCATATAGTCTTTCTTTGTATCTTATACGTTTCATTTCCTCAGAGCTCATACTAGTTTGTTCTGCATAAGAATAAATACATTAATGTAACAAAATAATATTTTTATCGGAGTATGAGGGGCATATTTAAGCTTATTTATCAGAGACAATTACTTACATTTTTATAAGAGCATGTGTGTAATATTCATATATGTAAATAAAAAATTAGGTCAGGGTTTTAAAGAATTATGCATTGATATAATATGACAATTTCACATGTGTGGACAGCAAATACAAATGTTTAAAACTCATTCCTGAATTGTTTTGCAAAGTTGCCTCCGAATTTTTTAAACACGACTCAGCGGGGCGCATGCGCACTACGTGACATTTTCAACCAGCTCCTCCTGGGTGTTTGAACAGGAAGGCGGACATGTTGGCCAAGCCGTGCTGAGAGAAAATTGTGCACAGTATGCGATTGTTTGTCAAAAAGTAATACATATCGGACTTAATTAATTATTTATATTTACTTTAAGACGTACAACGGAGTGGACGAGACTTAGACATTGACAGTAAGTCGGACGCAACGGAAGGACCTGAAACGTTGAAGGGACTCCGTGTTTAAACTTCGAAATTTGGAAGAAGCAGAAGTTTTTTTTCCCACCACTTCTACTTTTGAGCTGTCAGACTCAGGTTTTTTCCTGCAAGGGCCTACTACTGACATGGAAACGGGCCAGGACTAGTGCTTCCTACAGACTGTTTATTTTTTTAGAAGACATGGCATTTACCTTTTAATTGCCTTTCGTTGAATGCACCAACGTTTTAAGCCTTTATCCTCAGCGGCATCCTCCGGAGGTTGTCTAATCTGTCGCCACATTTATCTTTTGACACTGAAGTTGTTTGCCACTCATACTGGAACTAACATCTTCTAGTTTCCAAAAATGCGGAACATTAACTGCGACCTCAACACCTTTGTCTGCGAAAAGTCGAGGACAACGACGTTTTTGCTTTGAAGGGAGGTGCAAAGTTCACTCGAAGAAAGGAACATTTGGCTAGCTCAAGCTAGGTAGCCGCCTCGCCGCTGAGCTGTTTTTGTTCGTAAATAACGCAACGTCCGGACTGAGTTTCACAGCAAAATGTCTTCGGTGGAAAGTATCGACAGTCGATTTGAGAAAATCGATGCCATATTGGAAGACCCTCAGTCAGAAATTAACACGGATTGTCTGCTGGTAAGTTTCTAGCTTGTTAGCTACCCAGGTAGCTAACGCTACTCGGGGTCAGTCTACTCCTTGGAACATAAATTGTTTCCGACACCAATAGTTTGCCTCTGTTGTCACTGAAGAAATGCTGACATTTACGCCCTTAGTCCGGTTTGTTCCACATACCTTATCAGGTTCAGATATTTACACACCAGCACACATTTTTAAAGTTAATGTCAAATGTGTGTTCAGACAGTAGCCTAGTCACAAACAACGGACTAAAGGACAAACATGGAAACAAACCTTAAAAATAAATCCAACTGCACAGATATTAATAGAGGTAGACTTTAGTTTACTGCTGTACTCTTGGATATGACGAGTGCAGGATTCAAGTGATACACAAGTAGAGTTGGGTTCATATTTTTCATAGTTACTAGTACTTTTTAATATATTTTTCTTCATGTATGCATCCACGTGCTTTAAATGTAATAATTTTCATCAGTGCTCATTTTAAATATTTTTTAAAGAAAAATATCAATAGGGTTATTTTTTCTGGCTATTGGGTTGCAAATATTTCTTTGTATTCTCAATGGGTTTGGATCAGCTTATTCAGTGATGATTTAGCCTCCTTATGTCTCATTGTCTCTTATTTGAATTATTTTGTTGTGGATTATTTGTATAAAATCTGGTACATACCCATTTCATTCTGTCTATGTATATTTTTAGTCATTTTAATTTTTTTTCTGTAGTATTTGACTTAGTGGTTGCTTTTTGTCTCTTTTCGGGATATGTTTAAGATTCTTTGATTCGGACCCCTGGGAGTGAGTGTTTTGTCAGTGTTTATGTTTATGTATTTGTTTATGTATTGCATTGTGTGTCTAATCAGGATCAAAGTTTGATGAAAGAATTTGTAGTCTGCACAATTATTCTCTTTATAAAAATTCTTAGTACCAATCTCTTTATAAGAGGGCTCAATAAAAGTGTAAATGCATGAAAAAACAACCCAAAGATTTGACTTTGACAGAGTGAGAGCTGTTTTGTGCTTCATTAAGACAAAGACACTTTGCACATCTATTTTAAGATTAGGGTTGTTCAAACAAGTTGCATCATCAGGTCTGGACTAATATGTCCTTGTCGCAATTTACATTTATTTATGTTATCTCTTGGTGCTGTTTGGATCATTAGTTTGGAAATAAGTATCCAAGCTTCACATGAAGTGATGAGGTTGCTTCAAGCCTGTTGTAACCTGCAGGCCTCCAGCTGCACTAAGATTCACCTTACTGCTTCCTGTCTTAATTGCTGGCAACCCTTCTGCAGGAGGATGGAAGGATGCTTTTGCCACATGCTTAACCCTCCCACTGTCTTTATGGGTGACCCCGTGAGGAAAGTTGACCATTGAACAGGATTGATGGTTTATCCCTTGAGGTCCACGTGGCAGGGGTGAGGTGGTTCTCACTACTCACCCCTGCCACATGGACCAAAGGGATAAACCATCAACCCTGCTCAATGGTCAACTTTCCTCCTCGCGGGGTCACACTCATTAGGACAGTGGGAGGGTTAACACTCTGGAAGTTCCTCTATTGATTTATATTACTTCAGTCTTGGGCACTCACTGTGGAGTGGATGCCAAGATAATGTTCATGTGTCAGAGGGTTGTTTATCACAATTATTTGAGAAATTGTTGGACTACGTGTTTTCACAAGGTTTCAGCTCGACATGACTCCCAGGGGCTGTTGTGTTTGGTGTGATTAGTTACTGGTGGGTGCTTTAAAATTAAAATAAAGGTCTTTGACTACAGGATCTTAGTTTTAGGATTCAAGCATGCTATAAATTATTGTTTAAATGCTAAAATGAAAGTTGGAGTAGTACGAATTATTTATTTCTAATAAAAAATACAATTGTAGTAATTTGTTTGAGAATGTGGTTTGTCTTAACACCACGTGCCCTGGTCGTAGTGTTTGTGTTATGAATAAGTTGCTGTAGCTAGAAGCCTTTTGAAACGGAAACACGCTTAGTTTCTGTGACCTCCCATCAAATTAGCAGAAAGAGGCTATTAAACTCCCCTAAAAGTCCACACGCTTGGCATGTTTATTAGCAGAAACCTGTGGCAACTGTTCCTACTCCCAGCCGCACACAAGGGGATTGTTTATCTTTTTTTTCTCTCCCCTTCCTGCAATCTCTCCTGATCAATGAATGGTGGCATTTTGCTCCGGCTCTTTCTGCCACCATGCTACTCCACCCACAGCTTAATAAAATTCCACGCTAATCAAGTAACTTCTTGTCTTTGACCAGCCTGGAGTTCCCTGCGTGTCCCAAAGCCCGTTCTGCATGTCTGGAGGGAGTTGAGAACAGGCAGGCAGCCCTGAGGCAGTTGGGTGTGGGCTCTGCTTTCTTGCCATAAACCAAAATTATGTGAATTGAAGAGTAAAGACTCGTGTTTCTGAGGGCTGTGAATCAGGACGTTCAACTCATAAAGTGGCCAAGTGGCTGTAATAGTTTTCATCAGAATGCACAAAGTAAGTCTTTACTTGGCTACCTTTCTCTTCCTGCCACTTGTTGTTAGAAATGTAGCTCAATTGGACTTGAAATTAGCCTTATCTGCCTGATCTGTGGTGTGAAGAACACAATTAGCCTGTACAATACAGATAAAATTTTTTTTTATTGTCTTTGTACTTGACTCATTCACTGCTAGCCGTTTCCTGATCAGAAAAGCCTCTCGCTGCCAGGGGGTGTGATGATGATTGTGGAATTGTTTGGTCATATGACAGTAATGGTAGTAGTCTCGGTTGTAATAATCCCATAACAGCGTAAATGTGTGTAGTGTGGGTATAGAGGGGGCAATGGGTCCTCGGAACAACGAGAAAATGAAAGCAAGTCAACAGGGCTAAAAGAGCTATTTTCTAATCTGCTTTGGCTGGATCGCACAAATGTACTTCAATTTATAATGAAAAATAATGATGTGGGTTTCAACCACGCCAGTCATGTACTTTGAGATTTATCAGCTTGTAAAAGTTTGTAACTAACATGACTACAAATCAGACATCAGCACGTTTTAACATCACCACAGAATCTCCTCTACCCTGGTGTAGCTGCTACTTACCAAATGGCAAGATTTATGGTGGTTCTTCCCTCCTGAAAGAAGGATATGAAGTTTGCTGAACTTAGATATTTTTCCTCTGCTTTTCTTTGTGTCTGGTTTGATGTCAATTTGGTGATGTGCATTTGAAGTCCTGGACTTATTTTCACATAACACCTAAAATAACGTTTCTCCCCATTCAAAGATAAGTTTGTACTTGGCATCAAAATGCGTCTTTAAAATTCATGGACATCATATATGGACTCCATGGCACAAAACAAACGGAATAAAAAAATAGCGTTTTTAGCTCCATTTACTTGCATTAATTTCTTTGTTCTTCTGGGGACCCATAGTCTGGAAGCAGATGGGTGTGATTTGGGCTTCAATAATAATAATATATCTATATACAATTTTTATATTTGAGTTGTTTATTGGTAAGAATCTAGCAATATGAGTGATGAATATCACAGTACAAACTAGACGATACATAATCTTACAATAGTAAAACCCAGACAATATTTCAGATTTTTTTGACAGAACTTAATTGGGCCAGATGTCTCAAGTGAAACAAGTGTTATCGCAAAATTTTGTTGATCAGAGTGAAAGTGGTAAAAACTGCTGCCACCTAGCAGTCAGGGTTTGCACCACACAAAATAAATATAGTAAACATTTTTATGTCAATTCTCAATAAAATATTAAGACACTGCTTTTAAATATTGACTCAAGCTGGGAACCACTGCCCTAGGGTGTTTTCAGTCAGTTATTTGATGCTTTTTGTAAAAACACATTCATTTATACCCGAAAAGCATCGGATGAGCTTCTAATACAGGGTTTTTCCTGGCTCAAATTGAGGCAGAGTTGGTACTATCCTGACCAAGTGCCAGCACATGCATACTCTGTGCATTCAACTGCCTCACTTTTTTAAAGGCAAAATATTTTTTTGTTAAGTGTTCTAATCTAAGCTTTTGTTGATTAATTGAATATTCCATTTGACAACATTTCAAGTGAAAAGTGGTTTGCTGCAAAAAATTTTTTTTAAATAAAACAACATTATCAGGCTGAAATAACAGACTCTTATTATAAAAGGCTCAATAATATGCATTAGATTGGTGTTTAGTTCCCGTTTTCCCATTTGATATTTATAGTTAAAAATATTTTTTAATATTTTACCTACATTTCAGTGACATTTTAGGTTTGTATTAATAACACTCGTCTTGGTCAAAATAACACATAAATATATCCAGTAAAATATTATGCATTTCATTAACATGCATTTGTATTGGAAATGGTAATAACATTTAATATCTGCTGCTAACAGTGTGATGGTGGCATGTAACAGTGTGATGGTGGCTTGTTTATTATGTACGGGTTGACAATAATCCAGTTTAAATTATGCTCAAAGATGGAAGCGTTTGTGAATTATATACTACAACAACTTGCCGTACTTCCTGCTCCTGTGTGTGGAGCAGACTTGTAGCAGTAATGTGACTCATATCTAGCCTGGCAAGCCAGACTAAATAAATGTATTATTTAGTCTGGCCATGCTCCATTGACGGCTCTCGGTTGTGGGGCGAGTTCTACCGTTGTCTTTCAAATGATCTCCGCATTCCACTGGACAAAGAATGTGACATACTCTTGTTTAACTCTGTTGCATCATCCCACCCACCAGGCATATAGAGTGCCCTGATTGGCCCACAAAGCGGATAAAGCTCTGTGATTTGTTCACTAAGCAGATAGAGCACTATGATTGGCCCACCATTATGGACCAATCACAGCTCTTTATGTGTTTGGAACCCCTCTAGAGAGCTGTGATTGGCTAGCCAGAGTCCTGGTAGGAACTGCAGAAGTTCCAATGGAGCGTGCCTAGACCAAACTTTGCAAAGCAAGAATTTGGTCTAGTTCACTAGGCTAACTCATATCTGCTGCGGTTCTGATCCATAGCGCTGCAAGATGC